AAGCAATAGACACGAGATTTTTATCCTGGTTTGCTTGATCTAAAACTACTCCAATCCACCCGCCAATGTGATTTCGCCTCTCTTCAATGAGGACTTAATTCACTAATCAAACTGATTACAATTCTACTTTGAAAACTGCCAAAATCATCTTAAGTACAACCACGAACCAGTTTATCTCAAGGAAAATAACTTAATCAAAAGAAAAGGTTTACTGTTTAATGTATGTTTTTTGTTCCAAAAACTGTATCACAACTGTGATGTATTACACAAAATGAATGTAGAATGAATATGAATTTTTGCATCCTTTTTGAGATTTTATGGAGCAGTCGTGTGAAATAGTTAATGATTTACCCTTTCAACTTGTTTATATAGGCATGACAAATATTTCCAAATGGAAACATGATAATAGTCACTTAATGCACTTTCCATACTGAGAAGATTCTTGTCTGAATGAAGTCGTTGCACATGATACTGTCTTAATGGAAAAGTAACGCTTCAGAACTTAGGAATCTTGCATGCTGCTTTACTTTAGAACTTGGGAAGCCAGAAACGAAGATTCAGTTAGCGTGTTGGACTTCTGTTCAGAATCATAATATCTTTCTCTTTAGCGTAGATTCTGATCATCATACTTCAGAATATTCTGATTACTCAGCTTGAATGCCTCTGTGGCTTAACTTCTGATGCCGTTTTAGTCAGAACTTTTGTACAACATAAAACACAAATTTAGAGTGCATATTTGTTCTTTGTTTGTTATAATCAAAACTCTTATGAGGGTTGTAGAATCAAACTATGTTCTAACAAGAGATTCTACGCGAGAAGAGTGCCATATCAACAAATCTCTCCTCTTTTCAACAAAAGATTAAGAGTTTGTTCCCCCAAAAAGTTGGAACTCTGATCAGAATTCAATATTTTCAATGGACTGCAATTTATTTTTGTAGTATTCTTCCAAGCAAGTTACTTCCTCAAGGTTATCAATCTTTAGAGGTCGGTGGTTCCGAATCTCAGTTCTCCATTGAATTTCAGAGTGTCTTTTCTCTATAGAAGATCAGATTTGCAAGAATAATCGTTTGGAAGTTCATTTTCTTCTCAACATCCGGTTATTGACGTGTTTTCCCCAGTGCATTACTAAACACGCATCATTACATTTCATCTACCAAAATGTGTATCATTTCCATTGTATGGGGCATTACACTATAAAAATAAATTCAAACATGCATGAGTATAAGCCAATTATGTTTTCCTGTGGTGACTAAATTGTTGCGCTCAAATTTTAATTATCTCCACAGCAAGCTTTGGGTGACCCTGTTCTGTTTCCCCAACAGAGTCTGTCGGGTCATTGGTATCTTCCATTTCCCAGTAAGTTTGTTGTTTGCGCTTTCCCTTGCAAGCCTTTGGTTATTTTACCCGTGTTTTCTTTGCCATTAAAGTGAGAGTAAGAGTTGGTGTATATCCTTTCTTGCTTCTCAAGTATTTGAGTATCCATACTTGGTATGTAGTAATTCAGATAATTGCCACTCTTGAAGAATTACATCCCGCCTTTGGCCTGAGGGATTTTGTAGTTCTTGCTTATTTGCAACTCTTAAAGCCCAACGTGTGTTGGAAATCCTAGTTTAGAGTCTCTACAGTTGGTCTATCTTTTCTAATCATGTGTCTGCCTTCGACCAGCATTCTCTTTTCCCTTAAATTCGTCTTCAATTGGTATTATTGTCAGAGTAACCCTCGGCTGTTTTATTTCTCCTGTAAAGTCCGTCTTTAATGCGGTGTTCTCTGTGAATTTACTTTGGTTAAAATCCTCGTCCAGTTTCCTCAATGGAATATGTCGTGTAGTATCCCTAGAAAGTTCGTCTTTGGTCAGCATTCTCCCCCCAAAAAGTCTACCTTCGGTTAGTCTTCTTTTATCTGGAAAATTCGCCTTTGCCCAGCGTCCTTCCTTTTTGTTGGTTAAAGTTCGCCTTCAATCGAGGTACATTCTCTAGAAGTCTATATGTGTTTAGCATTCCTTTCTTGATATCCTTAGTTATATGTCCTTTCCTCCGGACATATTTTCCTAATATCTTTTGTTAGAGTCCTTTCCTCCGGCCTCTTTCCTTATATATGTCCTTTCCTCCAAACATATTTTCCTGATATCCTTGGTTAGAGTCCTTTCCTCCGGCCTCTTTCCATATATATATCCTTTCCTCTGGACATATTTTCTTGATAACCTTGGTTAGAGTCCTTTCCTCCGGTCTCTTTCCTTATATATGTCCTTTCCTCCGGACATATTTTCTTGATATCCTTGGTTATAGGTCCTTTCCTCCAGACATATTTTCCTAATATCTTTGGTTAGAGTCCATTCCCCGGGCCTCTTTCCTTATATATGTCATTTCCTCCGTACATATTTTCCTGATATCCTTGATTAGAGTCCTTTCCTCCGACCTCTTTCCTTATATATGTCCTTTCCTCTGGACATATTTTCTTGATATCCTTTGTTAGAGTCCTTTCCTCCGGCCTCTTTCTTTATATATGTCCTTTCCTCTAGACATATTTTCTTGATATCCTATGTTATATGTCTTTTCCTCCGGATATATTTTCCTGAGATCATTGGTTAGAGTCCTTTCCTCCGACCTCTTTCCTTATATATGTCCTTTCCTCTGGACATATTTTCCTAATATTTTTGGTTAGAGTCCTTTTTTCTGACCTTTCTCCTTATATATGTCCTTTCCTCCGAACATATTTTCTTGATATCCTTGGTTATATGTCCTTTCCTCCAGACATATTTTCCTAATATCTTTGTTTAGATTCCTATCTTCCGGCCTCTTTCCCTATAAATGTCCTTTCCTCCGGACGTATTTTCTTGATATCCTTGGTTATATGTCCTTTCCTCCGGACATATTTTCCTGATATCCTTGGTTAGAGTCCTTTCCTTCGGACATATTTTCGTGATATCCTTGGTTAGAGTCCTTTTCTCCGGCATCTTTCCTTATATATGTCCTTTCCTCTAGACATATTTTCTTAATATCCTTGGTTATATGTCCTTTCCTCCGGACGTATATTCCAGATATCCTTGGTTAGAGTCCTTTCCTCCGGTCTCTTTCCTGTTATGTGTCTACTATCAACCCCAAACATGTATTCTTGATATCTTTGTAAGAGCTTTCTTTGGCCTGTCTCTTTCTTATGTATCCGCTACTGATCCCGGATATGTATCTTTGATACCTTTTTGTATGTCTGTTACTGACCTCGGGCATATATCTTTTGATATCTTTCTTACATATGTCCGCTATTAACTTCGGACAGATGTTCCTTGATAACCACGTTCTCTTCTGTGTGTCTAACCCTGGTTTGACATACATTTGTCCCTGATAACCCCTTTTTCGCAATAAAGAGAAAGCAAAAAAATAAGAAAATACAAAAAACAAAAAATATAATAACTCCTGACTGGCTTCGGAGCACAAATTTTTAGGTTCATTTAAGTATTTAATCTTCTTCCACCTGGGAAGTTCGAAAGGCTGGCGCCAATCTCACTTTCAGGTTAAAGGTGATTAAATAGGGGAAGTTGTTGCACCAAAAAATTTTCCCTCCTAATTTCTCTTATTCTGGTTTAGACTTTGCATTCATCAGCATCATTCTAATAGGTAATGTGCATAGCATGCATTTTCATAAAAAATGAAGCACCTGAGGTTCAAAAGATCATCAACTATGAAGCTAGGGTTTAGAGCTGATTTGAGGTGTATATATTGAATAAGATTGATTATTCTGGATCTTCTTGGTGTACAAGGCTATGGAATTAGGGTTTTGGTTCATGTTCAGTTTGGATTTCTACCCCATCAAGCTACAAGGCTATTATCTTCTACTGGACAACAGGTTGCATATTTTTTTCTTGTCAATAATTCAGGGGTGTGACCTAGCATACATACTCTTGGAATCAATATGTCTTCTCATATGAGTGTGCTTATCATTTGATCATTGTTAATGACTGTGGCATGGCATTCATCCACTCTCCAGTTAACCAATTCAGGTGTTGTTGAGTCATGGTTCAAAAGTTCAGTGGGCGTGCAAGCTAGGGTTTTTAGAACTGACTAAGGTGTATATGTTCAATAAAGTCTGATTCTTCTGGTTATCCTTCAAGCAGTGAAATGTGAAATTAGGTTTCATTTCCCTATGTATTTCATGAAATTAGGGTTGTATCACATGGATGTCTTGCTATGCTTCTAATTTCATCTGAGTCAAGGAATTTCCTCAAGAAAGGTTGGTTTGGCTATGAGGTCATTGATTTTAAAGTCAAGGACTTATGATTTGAATTGTAAAGACGCTAAGTTATGGTATAAAATGTTGAACTTGGGGATCCAATGCAGGCGAGACATTATTACTTCTTTTATTTTTGTTTGATATGGATTTAAGAATCGAAGTTAGGGGTAATTGAGAATTGCATTTGATTTGGATTCATTCAGATGATCACTTTATGCCATGGATTCAATGCGATCAAAATTCTTAAGAGGCAAACATGATTAAGAAGGAAAGTTCGTGACTTTGAGATCATATGGATTTGAGTTACAAAAGTCGTGTCAACGCTTCAAGTATTCAAAACTTATTCAAGACCTTATTCAAAAGTTCAAAGGCATCATCATTCCTTCAAATTTTTGTCATTTTTCATACAAAGGTGAATCAAATTAGAGGGTCATTAAAGATACTAGTAATTATTTCATGTGTCATTTTGGATTGCAATACAAGTGGACTTGTAATCAAGGAATGGTTCTCATTGAAGAATTCAAGTTCGTAATTCAAAAGGTTTCATAAAAATCATCATTCAAAGTTATTTCAAGTTCATCCAAAAGGTTTCATAATCATACAAATCTCATCCATGTTTCTCTTTAGAATTACAAATTGCAAGTCGTATTGCCATTAAATTTTGAGAAATTACAAAGAAAGGGTTATATATCCATCGTAAGCCTAAGTGTTCCTTAGGATGATATATCTTATCAAAAGACCGGCTGCCAAAACCCATTCAAGCTTGTTCCATACCTTTAACCAATTCTATGAAATCTTGCTCTTCCTTCTCGCGTAATCCGACCTGCTATGGTGAAAAAGCCCCTGCAATTTTCAGGAATAAATTCAATACCAAATAGACATTAGCTTGAATGTGTTCGCATAACATGCTGTAATTTGTCAAAACTATGGAACTTCTATCAATATATAACAGAAAGCTAATTACCTATTTTCATGATAGATTTCAAACTCTCCAAAACTACAGTGTCCTCACCCTCCATCTTATATCTAACTTTATAAATGTCCAACATCTTGAATCACTTCAACCATAACAGAGTTGCTAACCAACCTTTAACAGAGTATCAACTATTAAAAGCTGCTAACAAAAAGTGGAAGTTTCAATTTCCTAACAATCTGTAACTGTCTGTAGCCCTCTAACTAACTTAGTTTCAGAATTAGCTACAACTAGCTCTTAACAGAAACTAATCATAACCGGAAAAAAACAGAATTCAGTTCTAACTAACTTCCACCTTCAATCTTTACCCTTCATCTGTTAACCAATTCCTTTTGATCCTGTAGCCTAGGGACTTTCAGTTGTAACTAACTTCTTCTTCATTCCTATATAATATCCTCCATCGGGCTCAGAAGAGAGGAGGCTCGATTTCACCTCCACTCTACTTTCATCTTCTTTCTCAATTCAACCCTCAACTTCCCTCATCCTACTACCTTCTTCCTTTATCCTGCAACCTTCGCCCCGCCATTATCTTTTAACCTTTGCAGTTCCTCCGCCCACTCTTACTGCATATCAACGCCTTATACCACAATCACGGAGCATTCTATGCAATACTTATGTCTCAGTACTACGATTAATTGCTCTTCTCAGGAAAACGAAAGATCGAGAGAAAATACTAGTAGAAGAAAACTGAATTGGAAGAAGAAGATGGAGAAAGAATCGAAGAGCAAGAAATTGAGTGTAGTACGTTTACCTGCTCTTTGAAGATTGTCCTCTGGATTTCTCATCTCCTTCGTCGCATCTAAAACACCGCCGGAGTGTCTCCGGCAGGTAAGCTCTGATCTCCCTAATTTCTTCGCCTCTTTGCATAATGCTTGTTACCACATCATGCGTCTTGGCTTGCTGAGTAATTCCCCTAATGCCTCAAACTTCAAATCGTCACTGTTATCATTTGATTTAAGTTTAAAACTCCTAGGTTTTCTATTCATTTAGATTTTGAAAAATTGAGAAGGAATCCTGAAAAACAGAGATGATATTTGGTAGTGGAGGGAAGGAGGAAAATGATAGAGGCGAATTACGAATGGGCGATTGTGTTTCGTTTTCGATTGGGACCGCCACTGTTGATACTCAAGAAGAAGAGGAGGAATATTGAACAAAGAAGGAAGAATTCGTTTGGGCGATCTGAAGAACCAAACTCCAACTCTAGCCTAAGAATAACAAGACGACATCGTTTATTATCGCTACATTATTTTTTTTTGTTTTTTTGAATTTAAATCTGGTCAAAAATAATAATGCTGGGTTAAGTGACCCGTTAGGCCCAACGCGTTTTAGACTAAATGGTTACAAATACTGATCTCTTATGGGTAAAATCAATCTTAAGCATGTTTCAATCCTTTTTTGTTGGAAACCAAATGCAGTAGCAATAGCAACAAAAAACAGCATTGGCCCTTAGTCAGCTTGGGCCTTACATCTGGAACTGCTTACTACAATGCACCACTACTAGCAGCATGCCCCTCTTGGATCTCCTAGTTTCCTTTTAATTTATTTTAATTTTTTTTATGACAAAATACATAATAAAAATGATTAAAATATTATAAGACATTTTAGGAATTAAATAGGAATTAATTTCCCCCTTGACTAATCTTTCTTTTTTTAACCACTAGCTTTGCTCACTTTATGTCATATATTTCATTTGCAATTTTTTGCATGGTTTGTATGCAATACTTTAATACTTGCTGCCTAATTTTACTCGCTTGCGTAATCTTTCATAATCCCTTAGGTGATTTTGGTTCAAATTTAATCTTCGATTTAACTGAACTAAAATTAGACATTAGGCTTCTAAATCCAAGCATGGAAACATTAGATAGAATTCCCTCAAAATTCCAACTTTAGGCCCAATGATGCATGTTAAAATTAGGGATAGATTTAGGTTAGTCTCCCCTTTAGACTTTTCTTTCCCCTTTTGCATTTGCATTTTAAACAAAACAAAAACTTCTTTTTTCTTGCAAACTTCAAAACACTTAAAGATTACCGATGAGGGACATACCTTTGGTGAGCATAGGAAATGATAAGCGGGTCTCTTCTCGATCTTATTATTTTTCCGTTCTAAGCATTGGTGTCGTTCAAGTCTCAAAGACTTATTTCATGAATAAGTGGAAAAGTGGCTAAAATCTCTCTCTTGAGATCGACTAGCTGTTATCCATAAGCAAAACACCAACCAACACAAACTTTTTTACCTTTGGGCTTTTCTTTCAAGAACTTTTCAAAAGAACATGTTAATTCACTTATGTGTTGACGCGTAAGTCTCCAAAAGTCGAGTTGCGGCAGAAGGCGAAATTAATATTGTTCATTAAAAAATACAAACCAATAAAAACATTTGAAGTTGAACTACGGCTGCTCTGATTTCCTTAAAAGGGATACGTAGGCATTGGGGTAGGGCCCGAACGAGCACAACTTTTATTTTCCCTACATTCTTTTCTCCTTTCTTTTGCATGCATTTCTTGTACAGCTTAGATATAGATTTGAAACACACCCTTTGGTTATAACAACATGAGTGGATACCGTAGAGTACTACGGGCGTGGGGGTGCTAATACCTTCCCCTCGCGTAACAGACTCCCTTACCCATATCTCTCGTTCGTTTGATCGTGATTTCACCGCTCTCAGGTTTACTCGATGTTTACCTTTCCCTTCCAGTGGGATAAAAAACGTTTGATGGCGACTTCATTGATTTCATTATCAGTTGATTGTTTAGCCGGTTGTTTCAAGTATTTATAGTGTTTTTATTTTAGGGCTTGAACAATTTGTCGTTACCAACTTAGTTAGCATAGATTAGGGATTTTGTACAACCAAAATTAGGGATTCAAATCTTATGCGATTGATTTAGTGTAAAATTTTCGGATTTGATTTTTGTATTATTTAGATTGGATTGGATTTTGTAAAAACAACGATTCTGTAAATTTGCTTGAATGTAATATGTATTATGTATATTCGTGAGATTTGAGTTGTAGATTGGATTTTATTTGGATTTGTTCTGTTAAATATTGATTTGCAGATTTGATAATGTTTTGTAATATGTTTTTTTCCTGAGATTTGATTTTAATTTTAGATTGTAATACATTTCTGGGCTTAGAAGATTTGATTTCTACAGTGCTAGTTTGTGATAGAAACGCACATATTTTCCTGCTGTAATTGATACAGTAATTGTTTCTTCAATTTGAACTTGCATTGTTACTATATTTTATTTTATCCAGCCCAACACGTTATTTTAACCAAAATGGGCCTTTATTGTAACAAAAATCTTTTCTGCCCAACAACAACTTTAAAGCATTTTTTACTAAAGATTGGGCTCAATACGTATGATATGAAGCAGATTTTTTCGTAAACATAAAAAGACTCTTCATAACCAATAAAATATTTACTGAAATAATAAAATATTTTAGTAATAAAATGGTCAATTATGGTAACTTTTTTTAATATCTTGTGAAAATACTTTATGAATAATTATAAATAGAAGAGGCTTAATGATAATGTTTTTTTAAAACAGAAATGACAAAAAACGTCAAATGGGATAATTAATCTTGATGGGTCTGCCATTCTTATAATCATACCTCCCTCCTAACGAAAAATGAGCAAAAAAATGGAATATGATAGGCCTTTAATTCTAATGGACTTTTGAATTGAAGTTTTTACCTCCTCTCTTTATTAACACCTATAACACTTAAATGGACTTTACATATGATTAAGAACTTAATAATTTCCTTGAAATAATTTTTCATATTCGAATCTCATGGGCCTTTGACCAACATGCTTCGTAAATGGGCCTACGGATACATGGGTCTTTCCGATTTAGAAAGCCCTACTCTTCTAAATTAAAACACACCCCCTGGTTGACTTGGATTTAAGAATGAGCCATTAGATATTGTTGGACCATCCTTAATTAAAACATCTCTCTTGTATTTTTAATCTTGAAAAATATGATCGTAGAGGTAGGGAAAATTTGGGGTACGACAGCTGCCCCTATTCAATTATCTTCCAATCGAATAGCGTGAGAATACACAAGTCTTGCGCATTCTGATTGGGAGTTTATTGAATACTTGGAATCCCCCAAAATTTGTCCGACAAAAATAAGGTTATGCTGATATCGCATACCCTTAAGATTCTTTGAGGAAATAGCCAAAGCTGATGATGTATCGCTTACCAGGGTTTAACGACGAGGCATATATTTCTGAGTTTGGGATAACAATATTGTATGTCTTGGTTTGGATTTGCTTATTCATCCATTTGGGGGGATGAATAAAATGAAACCTGATAACGCATGGCTTCTTGGAGACTGAGGCAATGGGTTATGTTTGCGAATCGCTGCATCGAGTCTTAGACGATGAGCTAAATTTGGGTTTCGAACACCGCTGCATGGTGTCTTAGGCAATGATCTATATTGGGAAGTGTCGCACATTACTGCGTGGAGTCTTAGGTAATGGGTGAAGTGAAGGAAACACATTGTTGCATGGAGTCTTAGACAATTGGTCATGTTACACTGTTGCATGGAGTCTTAGGCAATGAACTAAGTTTTGCGTATTACTGCCTGGGGTCTTAGGTAATGGGTAAGGAAAGGGGAATACGTTGCTGCATGGAGTCTTAGGCAATGTACCGAGCTTCATACTGTTGTACCCCAATTTTTTCCCCTAAGATCCCTTCATCATACCATATTGATTCAATGACAACAAGATCACATTAAGGTTCTTGGTTCTCCTCCCTACCTTTAGCTTTTCTCTTTGAGGAATCACCAAGCACCTTGACTTATTTTCTTTTGTGACCATGAATATTTTGTCTTGATTTTTATTTTAATTAATAAAATGCAATGTTAGTTTGTCTTGCTTGTTACTAATGTAGGTAAAGGCAATGAGATTTAGCAAGTTGCAACATGGGTTCATGAGTTTATTTCTATGCCCTAGGAAATAAAGCTTGAGAAGTCCAAACCTCACCATTGAAGTTGTTTTGGAAGGGATGGAATAGCAAGGTTATTTTGGTTCACTATATTTCCGAGATGTCAAAATTAATTTAAAAGTGCAACGGATTGATTGAAGAAGTTGTCATGGTTAGACAAGGTCTTGTTCCCTTTGATCACAAGTACATGTTTCTCTCAATTCTCAAGATATGGAAGTGGTTTTAGTGGCTATGAGTTCTCATTTTCATCCTCAACAACTTCTATTTACAAAGCAAGGGTGTTGGTATAAGAAGGTGATTCAAATTTGTCAAAGTTCCTCAAAGCATTTTCTAGATCTAGGAGCTAGGGTTTTAAACTTCAAAGAAGCATATCTTGCTCATCATTTGGTATTTTTGGGTGATTCCAAAAGCATCCTTCTCTCTAAATGGTTATTAAAAAATCACTTCAAAAGTTTCAAAGAGTTTTCATGTGGAATAAACTTCATGATGAAGAAATATTACAAGTCCTCTAGATGAACACCCAATTTCTCATGTATGACTTAAAATGATCATAACTTGGTCAATTTTTATCACTTTGAGCCCACTCTTTTTCCATAATGGTCTTGAGGGTGTGAAATATATGCCTTCTTTTATGTGCAAAGTCAGAAAATGGATGGAAGATTCCCTAAGGATACAAAAGATTATAGGTCATTTCATGATTTTTTGCCAACTTCAACAATTCATAACTCTCTCAATTTTTGGATATTTTGAATGGTTCAAATTTAAAAATGTCATTCAAGAGGTCTATTTCATGCCATATTTTTTGGTCAAGAGCAAATTCCAAGTGGAAGGCCATGTTTAGATGCAAGACATTATAGGTCACTTTTGAAGAAAAATTTGAAATATTTCTAAGTATGGAAAGTCAACCTTTTTTCCCCAACTTTTA